GGTGGTGGTGGCGATGATGATGTTTGAATGAGGATGATGCCGATACCGATGATGACGATGATGTTCGTGAGCGTGTGAGAGAGTGCGAGTGATGATGATGTGTGTGTGAATGAGTGCGAGGAGAAGAGGGGGTGAGTGAGATCTCTCCTGCGCGGGGGTGTGCAGAGAAAACAAGAACCCCACTTTGGATGTGGGGAATTACCCTGGCGACGTACCCAACCCCTGCGCAAAAGCGGGCCGCAAATAGTTTAGGATACTTTATAAGGGGGCGATGACGGAGCGAGGGTTACATATGTCTGCAGACGGAATTCGGGAGACTCGCAGGACACTGGCTACAGGAAAAGGGCTTGATAAAGCTGATGATTTACAATTCCTGAGCACTCCTAGCCACCTCGAAAACGGGGATCACAGCAGGACTCGAAAGTGGCGACAGGTTCGCAGATCACAGCCCCGCAGGGATTGGCGACTAGGTCTCATTTGATTCTGGCCGTGGGCCCTCACTGTGGAGCATTCCCAGCAGGCCTCGAAAATGGCGGCATTTTCGCAGATCGCAGCCCCCCAGGGATGGCGAGGTCTAATTTGAATCCGCGCGTGGCCCTCACTGTGCTGGGCCCCCCAGCAGGCCTCGAAAGTGGCGACAGTTTCGCAGATCGCAGCCCCCCAGGGATGGCGAGGTCTAATTTGAATCTGCGCGTGGCCCTCACTGTGCTGGGCCCCCCAGCAGGCCTCGAAAATGGCGGCAGTTTCGCTGATCGCAGCCCCCCAGGGATGGCGAGGTCTAATTTGAATCCGCGCGTGGCCCTCACTGTGCTGGGCCCCCCAGCAGGCCTCGAAAATGGCGACAGTTTCGCAGATCGCAGCCCCCCAGGGATGGCGAGGTCTAATTTGAATCCGCGCGTGGCCCTCATTGTGCTGGGCCCCCCAGCAGGCCGGCCTCGAAAATGGCGACAGTTTCGCAGATCGCAGCCCCCCAGGGATGGCGAGGTCTAACTTGAATCCGCGCGTGGCCTTCACTGTGTTGGGCACCCCAGCAGGCTTCGAAAATGGCGACAGTTTCGCAGATCGCAGCCCCCCAGGGATGGCGAGGTCTAATTTGAATCCGCGCGTGGCCCTCACTGTGCTGGGCCCCCCAGCAGGCCTCGAAAATGGCGACAGTTTCGCAGATCGCAGCCCCCCAGGGATGGCGAGGTCTAATTTGAATCCGCGCGTGGCCCTCACTGTGCTGGGCCCCCCAGCAGGCCTCGAAAATGGCGACAGTTTCGCAGATCGCAGCCCCCCAGGGATGGCGAGGTCTAATTTGAATCCGCGCGTGGCCCTCACTGTGCTGGGCCCCCCAGCAGGCCTCGAAAATGGCGACAGTTTCGCAGATCGCAGCCCCCCAGGGATGGCGAGGTCTAATTTGAATCCGCGCGTGGCCCTCACTGTGCTGGGCCCCCCAGCAGGCCTCGAAAATGGCGACAGTTTCGCAGATCGCAGCCCCCCAGGGATGGCGAGGTCTAATTTGAATCCGCGCGTGGCCCTCACTGTGCTGGGCCCCCCAGCAAGCCTCGAACATGGCGACAGTTTCACAGATCGCACCCCCCCAGGGATGGCGAGGTCTAATTTGAATCCGCGCGTGGCCCTCACTGTGCTGGCCCCCCAGCAGGGCTCGAAAATGGCGACAGTTTCGCAGATCGCAGCCCCCCAGGAATGGCGAGGTCTAATTTGGATCCGCCCGTGGCCCTCACTGTGCTGGGCCCCCCAGCAGGCCTCGAAAGTGGCGACAGTTTCACAGATCGCAGCCCCCCGCAGGCAAGACAGGAAGAGGCAGGCAGGAGGCGGGAGGCGGGAGGAGGAAGGACGCGACCACACTGCTCTATTCAAAACGAATACCCAACCATGGAGGGTTGGGAAATAGAAAATACACCAAAAATACCCCCCAAAGGTCAGACGATGTTTGCATTATATATGTTTTAATTATTTGCGGGGTATTATTATCCCGGCAAAGCAACCTAACAGCGATGTGTAGAAGCATATCTGAAAGCATTCCCCTTAAGATTCAGACGAAAATCCAGTTGTCGAATTCTGCTGTTCTCGCAGTCGTAGTAGCATTCGCGATGACAGTCGCAGCGGCAACGGCAGTCGCAGTCACAGCCTCAGCCTCAGCCTGCCTCCTCCTCCTCCTGCTCTTTCTCCTGCTCCTCCTCCTCCTCCTCCTCCTCCTCTTCCTCCTGCTCGTCCTCGTTCTCGTCCTCCTCGTCTTGCTCGTCCTCCTCCTCCTGGTGCTCTCTCCTCCTCCTCCTCCTCCTCCTCCTCCTCCTCCTCCTCCTCCTCCTCCTCCTCCTCCTCCTCCTGGTGGTCCTCGTTCTCCTCCTCCTGGTGCTCTCCCCCCCCCTCCTCCTCCTCGTCCTCCTCCTCCTCCTCCTCCTCCTCGTCCTCCTCCTCCTCTTCCTCCTCCTCCTCCTCCTCCTCCTCCTCCTCCTCCTGGTAGTCCTCCCCCTCCCCTCCTCCTCCTCCTCCTCCTCTTCCTGGTCGTCCTCGTTCTCGTCCTCCTCGTCTTGCTCGTCCTCCTCCTCCTGGTGTCTCTCCTCCTCCTCCTCCTCCTCCTCCTCCTCCTCCTCCTGGTGGTCCTCGTTCTCCTCCTCCTGGTACTCTCCCCCCCCCTCCTCCTCCTCCTCGTCCTCGTCCTCCTCCTCCTCCTCCTCCTCCTCCTCCTCCTCCTCCTCCTCCTCCTCCTGGTACTCCTCCCCCTCCCCTCCTCCTCCTCCTCCTCCTCTTCCTGGTCGTCCTCCTCCTCCTGGTCGTCCTCCTCCTCCTGCTCGTCCTCCTCCTCCTCCTGCTCGTCCTTCTTCTCCTGCTCCTCCTGCTCCTCGTCCTGCTCCTGCTCGTCCTCGTCCTCCTGGTCTTGCTCGTCCTCCTCCTCGTCGTGCTCTTGCCCCTGCTGAAAATGTGGCCCAGGAATGGGAGTTCTGGGAAGTCGAAGAGCACGAAGTTGCCTACAGTTGGCTACGGGCATTCAAAATGTGGCCCGGGAATGGAGTTCTGGGAACTCGAAGAGCACGAAGTGGCCTACAGTTGGCTCCGGGCATTCAAAATGTGGCCCGGGAATGGAGTTCTGGGAACTCGAAGAGCACGAAGTGGCCTACAGTTGGCTCCGGGCATTCAAAATGTGGCCCGGGAATGGAGTTCTGGGAACTCGAAGAGCACGAAGTGGCCTACAGTTGGCTCCGGGCATCCAAAATGTGGCCCGGGAATGGAGTTCTGGGAACTCGAAGAGCACGAAGTGTGTGACTGTTGCATCCGGCCCCCCAGAATGTGGCCCGGGAATGGCGTTCTGGGATGTCGAAGAGCACTTTGTGTGTGACTGTTGCATCCGGCCCCCCAGAATGTGGCCTGGGAATGGAGTTCTGGGAAGGCGAAGAGCACGAAGTGTGTGACTGTTGGTGAAAAACGAGCCCGGCTCATGCCGCCCGGAAACGCCCCAACACCTGCCCGGACCCCCCTGTGGAGTGATCTGTGAGCTCTTTTGAGTCAACTAGAAACCTATCAGTCTTCGCTGTTAGGTAAAAAAAACATCGTCGAAAATCCCCTGTAGGGGGACAGGCCCGACTTAAGAGTTGTGAGACGGCATAAGGGAAATTTGAGGAGTCAGGGCTGAGGGCGCGTCGAACGGGGGCTGGAGGATTGACCCGGGAAAGGGAGCAGAGGAAGGTGGATGAGGATGACGAGGGGAGGGTGATCAGGGGATGACCCGTGAGCCTCAGAGGCTCCAGAACCATGAGCACAGTACAGCGTCCGCTCTTCGTCCACGTCTATGCTCCACCGCGACGTGCGTAGCCCAGGGATGTGCCAAACAGTTTCTGGTGCCCTTCGAAGCGTCGAAGCGGCACTGGCGGCACAAAGTGGAGCCCATACCTGAGTACTTCTCGTTCTCTCTCTCTCTCTCTCTCTCTCTGGTGTCGCCGCCTCCCTGGCAAGGATCGGGGCCGTCTGCGATCCAGGCTGGCCCGCAAGGAGCGGTGCCCGAGGTAGACCGGCGACACATCGTGAGTTCAAGAGCCTCACTGGATCCCGACCCTCGCATGATGATGTTCCAAACTACTTTAGCCTTGATTACCAGAAAGAGAATTTCGAGCGCCCGGAAAGTACCCCGAAACTCTAGGGTTTTCACGTGTCGGGCCCTAGGGGGCACTGTTTCAACATTGTGTCGACACTATTTCGACACTCTTTCGACACTTCTCCGGGTGCTGAAAGTTATTTCTAGGATGTGGTCCTCAAGTACAATGGGAGCAACATAACCCTCGCAGTGTGAGCTCATCCACAGCCCCACGCGCCCTCTGAACTCGTCTTTGAAGGCCTTCGCGGCGGCAGCCCTGACGACGGGATTGGCCGGCACCGCCCTCACCAGCACCGCGCCTCACGCTTCCCAGGAGTGGATCCTGGCTTTTCTCGCAGGCTCCTGGACTCCCTGGAGGACTCTGGAGGCCCGCGGAGGCCGAAGTTGAGGTGAAAGCACGGCGGAGACTTCGAATCACTAATTCAAAACAGACGCCCAATCCCAAAAGGGCCAAAACAGAACGCAGGCTCCTCGAGACTTCGGGGAGGGAGTCTTTGGGGCCTAGGGTTTTACCAGGGTGACAACGACGAACGCAAAACATATCCCGAAATCTTTGGCCGATCTTCGAATCCTCGGTGAATCCGCGGTTTTGGGGTTGGGGATGTGTTAAAACGACGCGAAGATCGGGGCAAAATCGGATCGGGAGAATTCGAAATCTCTGAGAATCGGCGGGTTTGGAGGATGTATCGGGCGCCGCGGCCGCCCCAGAGCGTTCCGGAACGCTCTGAGAGCGCTCCGGAACGCTCTGGAGCGATTTATCCCGATCCTGGCCCTGTTTTATGTGTTTTCTCTTGGGCATTGAAGTCTCAGCGGCCCAGGTCGGACAGAGCCGGCCGGGCCGCGCGCAAGCCACGGCCTCGGCGAGGGCGCGCGTTCCAGCCCGCCGCGGCCCGCCCCGCCGAAGGCCGCGTTCGAGGCCGCCTGGGAGCGCGTTGTGCCGCGGGAGTTCGACAGCAGCCGCGAAGGCTCCGTTGCGACCAGGAGCAGGCAAGGGAATCGGGATCGCATCGAAGAGAATAAGGGGGATAGAAAGTGGCAAGGGAATCGGGATCGCATCGAAGAGAGTAGGGAATTTGAAAGTGGCATGGAACATAAAAACTCGGAGGTCCGCGCGGATTTCTCGGATCGGCGCTGGGGCCCCCCCGGCGGCGCCTCCGGCGCCGCTCCGCGCGCCAGGGAGGAGGGGTCCAGCGCCGATCCGAGAAATCCGCGCGCACCTCCGAGTTTTTATGTTTATGTCACTCCTTGTTCCCCCACAGGAGCAGGCAGAGGAGTCGGGATCGCATCGAAGAGAATGGAAAGGGTCTTGAGCTCGATCGCCGTGTCCGGTTTCACGCGGCCATGTCGCAGGCCCGTGTAGAAAGGACTCGGGATGAGGAGCAAGCCCCAGGGAAAGGCCCCGTTTCCCTCAGTCTAACCGGGAGGCAGCATCCGCACCGCCGCCAGACTGCTCCTCCCGCGAGGAGGAGGAGGAGGAGGAGGAGGAGGAGGAGGAGGAGGAGGAGGACGAACACGAGGATGATGATGATGAGGAGGAGGAGGAGGAGGAGGAGGAGGAGGAGGAGGGGGAGGGCGACGACGAGAACGAGGAATCTCAGCAGGAGGAGTTAGGCACAGTAGGTTTGCGCCGCGTTGACGCGGCGGCGGACCCCAGCACGGGCGGTCAATGTTGAACGCCCCTGGTGGCCCGGAACCGGCCGATCCGTTCGGTGTCAGAGCCCAACGCCCGCGACATCGTGACACGAAACCAACGCAGCAACGTCAAGCACTGCAAATGGATAGCGGTGGCGACGCCTTCGTACACGGGCGGCAGCAGCAGCAGTAGCAGCAGCAGCGGAGACATGGTCACTAAGCCGCCTGCCCTGGGCAGCAACAGCTTCGGCACGGCATGCGCGCACCGGTCGTATCAGATTCTTCCTATGGGCGATGGGGAGCTTGAAAAGTAAAAAACACTCGGAGCTCCGCGCGCCTTTCGTGGATCGGCGCTGGGGCCCCTTGGCGGCGCCGCCCCATGGCGCGCTCCGCCGCCAGGGAGAGGGGGGGGGGGTCCGGCGCGGGTCCAAGGGAACCGTGCAGACTCCTATAAGTTGAATGCTTATTTTTCCTTTCTATTTTCTGCCCTCATCTCGCTCTTGCACGCTGGCCAATTTCGGTGCCCCCGCTTAGCTTTCTCGCTGGCGCAACCAAATTTAACGGGGGTGCTGACCCACGATGTTCCACGGCTGACTGACTTTTCTCGCGGCGATGGCGTGCACATTGTTGTGTGCGTGTGGTGGTGTGCCCATCGGCCGACGTGCAGATGGACGTGGGTCTGTGACGGTGCGCCTCTCTCTCTCTGCCTGGCGAGGCGTAGCCTGACATGGCCTATCTGTTTTTCATTTGTCCAGCCCTTCAGCATGGCGAGCCAGGCTTACCGCAAAGCACGGCGTAGCTAAGGTGGGCGCTCCTTATTGCCTGGTCGGTTTAGTTCGGTCCAACGTAGTTCAACGTAGCGTAGGTCAGATAATCGGCTGTTCACCCAGCGTGGGGTCGACTTAGATTGGTGGGTTTAGCCGGGCTTATCCCAGATGGGCTTGCCACCCTATACACTGGCGGCGCAGCCCAGCTCCTTCTTTCTGCCCCTGCGTAGGTTCAGCCCCACAGCCCTCAAGCCTCCCCCTCCTGACTCCCTCCCTCCCTCCCAGAAGTGTCACCCTTCATTCTTGCTCCCTCCTCCCCCGACCAGAGCCGACGCCGATCCCTCGACGGCATGCTGCCCCGACCCAGAACACAAACAGTCATCCGTTCCCGACGTGCAGCGGCGCCTCCGGGACGGCGCTCCCCCGCGGGGCGGCGCCTCCCCCGGAGGCGCAGCTGGGCTTGGACCCCCGGCAGGAAGCAGCTGAGGCTCCTGGCGAAGACTTGGACGACGACGACGACGACGACGACGACGACGACGACGACGACGACGACGACGACGACGATCGATGACGATCGATGGCAAGATGACGACGATCACAAGACGGCAAGATGACAGTGAGATGACATCGTCGTCGTCACGGTCGTCGAGGGGGTGGCAGCCGAGCCTCGACGGAGTGGGCGGGCAGAGTGGGCTGCGCCTCGGCCGACTCCGCCCCGCCTGCGGCCCGCGCTGCTGCTGGTGGGGCTGCCCACGCCAACGGCCTCGCAGGAGCGGGAGGAGCTGGAGGGAGGAGGGCTGAGCGGCAGCGCCTTCGCAGTCCGCGGCGTGAATCCTTCAGGAGGGGGGGACAACACACAGACACAAATGATCGACCAATCCCAGGAAAAGATGAGAAGCTATGGGAAGTGGGTGGGCGGGCAAAACTCCAGAAAGTGTTGGAAATTTGTGGGATCGTGGGATATTTGTGTGTCGCTGGGCCCCTTCAATCCTGCCCTTGGGATGGCCGCAAGCTTGGTGCGCCTCCCCCCTCTCCCCTGAGAGGGGTCGGAGCAACCTTCCCAAGGGTACCCTTGCATCCTTGCCTTAAGTCGGGCCTGTCCCTCTACAGAAGGAACATTCAAAAATAGTAGAATCATTGTCTTGGGACGATTCTTCTACTGTTGACACTTGTTGCGAATGTTTTGACTGTTTTATTTGTTTCTTCCGCAGCCCGCCTTTAGGGGGACATGCCCGACCTAATCCTTGCCCCTTCCGCCCATCCTTGGCGACGCTCGCTGGCCAGCCTCGTTCGAGAAACGTTAGCGTGGGCCTCCAAGGCCCGTTGCGCCCTTACCGAGCATTCTTACGATACGGGTTGACTGTACCCACCGAACCCAGGCCCAGGAGGAGCCTGGCCGGGATCAGTGTAGGTTTCAGTCAGGCATGTCCCCCTACAGGAGGAATCTTCAAGAACAGTAAAAGAATAGTCTGGGGACGATGCTTCGATTATTTGCCGACCATGTTTGCATCTGTTTCGACTCTTTTAAATCAGTCTTCCGAAATCCGCCTGTGGGAGGACATGCCCGACCTAAGTGTAGGTGCCCCCCCCTCCTCCTCCTCCTCCTCCTCCTCCTCCTCCTCCTCCTCCTCCTCCTCCTCCTCCTCCTCCTCCTCCTCCTCCTCCTCCTCCTCCCTTGCTGGGCTGGTGGGCCACTGGAGCCGGTCAGGAACCTGAGGCCTGGAAGCCCCGACCCTGGGCCTCGCCCTGCGCCGCCACTGCCGGGCGCGGCGCGGCCGACGACGCCCACGAGCCTCGAACCGAGTGGCGACGACGAGGACGACGCCGACGCCGTGGCCGACGAGGACGACGCCGACGCCCGGGCAGCGTCGAACCGCTCGCACCGAGGGCCGCCCTGCGCAGGACGTCCGCCGCTGGAGCAGCACCCGTCTCGCCCGAGAGGGGCTCTCATCGGCGGCGCGCCGCAGGGAGCGGGGCAGCACGGGGGGCGGACGCCGACGCCGTCGCAGTGTATGCGAGCCTGTCCGTCGTTTTGCAGGCGGGGCCCCCATGAAGTCCCGACCTGCTCCCCCAGGGCCGGTTTCTCCGCCCGAGGGCCGGCCGCTCGTTTATGGACCGGGCCCCGGGAGCCTGGCGGTGGCTACCAGACGCCGAACAAAAACGTGCCGTGCCGTGATTTTTTTGTCCGGGCACGAGCATGTCTGGGCTTGGACCCCTCCCCCAGATCTCGAGTATGGGGCTCGACCGCAGAGTTGCTTTATCTTTCTCCAAAACTGATTTTCTCGTCGAGGTTGCGGAACATACGTATAATCCTCGTAGATCTACGGGTCATTCTACGTGTTGTTCGTAGATTCGATGAACACCTCAATTCTGGGGTAAATCAAGTCTGCAATCGATCCCCTACTCGAAGATCGCACGCAGGGCCCCGGCCAGCGCGGCCCGCAAGGCAAGTCCCTCGTGCTGCCCGGGCGGTGGGCGCGAGCAAGCCCACGACGCCCTGCCGAGAGAGGGGGAGGATGAAACGGAGGAGAAGGAGGAGAAGGAGGAGAAGGAGGAAAGGGAGGAGGAGAAGGACGAAACGAGGAAGGAGGAGGAAACGAGGAAGGAGGAGGAGAAGGAGGAGAAGACTCCTCTCTCCCAGCTGGCGGCTCCTGGAGCGAACTCTCCAGGAGTCGCCAGGCTCTTAGTCTTGAGGAGCGCCACAGGGCCTACCAGCCCTTGGGAAGGGGAGGGCTACGTCAGGATACGAGGAGGAGGGAGAGGGAGGAGGAGGAGGAGGAGGAGGAGGAGGAGGAGGAGGAGGAGGAGGAGGAGGAGGAGGAGGAGGAGGAGGAGGAGGAGGGGGAGAGGGAGAGGGAGAGGGAGAGGGAGAGCAGGAGGAGGAGAGGAGGGAGAGGGAGGAGGAGGAGGAGGAGGAGGAGGAGGAGGAGGAGGAGGAGGAGGAGGAGGAGGAGGAGGAGGGGGAGGACCCGGATCGGAGGCGGGCGCTCCGCGCGCGGGTGTCCCGGCGCGGCGGCGATGCGCGAGGCCGGTCCCTGGAGCTGCGCTTGCGGGCCCACTTCGCGCTCTGCCGATCGCGACGGCGCCTGGACGCCGGGGCGGGCCGCGGCCCACCCGCGCCGCGGCCCGCTGGTTCGTCCTATGCTTAAGTCGGGCCTGTCCGTCTACAGGGGGGATATTTAAGAATAGTCTTGGGATTATTTCTTGAGTATTTGTTGTCATTTTTGAGCGTTTTTTGTGAATTTTTTGGTTCGTCGAATATCCCCCTGTAGGGGGACACGCCCGACTTAATCCTATGTCTCCTCGGCGGTCTCGTCCTCGTCGTCGTCGTCGTCGCCGTCGTCGTCGTCGTCGCCGTCGTCGTCGCCGTCGTCGTCGTCGTCGCAGCCGTCGTCGCCGTCCTCCTCCTCCTCCTCCTCCTCCTCCTCCTCCACCTCCTGATTGTCCGCCTTTTCTCGAGGCATCCCAGGTGGGGTCGGAGTAGATGGGGTCGGAGATTCGCACCGTATCGCCGATACATTGGTGATGCGGCTGGAGCCCGATTTTCTCCACGCCAACGGTGCCGATACATCGCCGACGTCTCGTTGCATCGCCGATGCATCGGCGATGCGGCGCGATCCTGCGACCCCGTCTACTATGATCCCAGTTGGGAGGCCTCTATCCGCGTCCTCGTGCGTTTTTCTTATCATCATCTTCCTCCTCCTCCGACATCCCCTCATCCTGACACTGACACGGGTGGGATCAGAATCCAAGGTAATCACCCCCTCCTCCTCCTCCTCCTCCTGTTCCTCCTCCTCCTCCTCCTCTTCCCTCTCATCCTCCCTCGGGGATCGGGGATGGATCGGGAATCGAGGGGGAAGGAGGAGGAGGAAGAGGAGGAGGAGGAGCAGGAGGAGGAGGACGATGACGAGAAGGAGGGGGGTGGTCGGGGTTGGGGTCAGGGATCGGGGGTTCGGGGCGCGAAGTGAAAATCTTACAGAATGAGTTCTTCATTTCATCGAGGCACGGACAATTCTGTACTTCGAGAGTTGTAAGTCAATGCAGTAAGCATTGTTTGACCCCCGTTGAAGTACTACGCGGTTCACAATCATAACAAAAGTTTCGTTAACGCGGTAGTTACTTAAGTTGGGAAAGCAAACGTAGCCATACAAATTTGGTATTACTACGTGTATTGTTACTTACGACTTAGCAGTGGCCCAACCGTTCCAGAGGAAGTTCACATGTCATGCAGGTGTTGTCAGATGTCGGATGGCGGACTTCACTCATCATAATACGAGTTGCAATATCAGTGTTTCCAGCCAGTTCGGGTGCACTAACTTCTGTACAAGTGGGGGCACTTGCCCGAACGCAATCATGCCCCAAAGCCGCGCCACACTAATTCGACGAAGTAGTAACATGTATGGTGCTGCATTTCTGCTTCCAGTGCGGAACATCAATGCTTTCAAGTGGTTTGCGCCATTCCGCCGACCCCCAGAATGAGTCAAAGTTTGCGACGATCATGAAGAAACACTTGGTGGCCTTCGGGCTGTGAGCCAGGAGCCTCTTGAACGACTCTGAGGGTCTCTTGGGTGCATCTGGGGTACCCCTTGGAGGGCTTCTTGGGTGCACCTGGGAGGCTTTGGGGGGGGGCCTCCTGGGGGGCCTCTTGGGAACTTGTTGGGGGGCGCCTTTGAGGCGAGGCCCCGTGGGGGCGCCTCGAGGACTTCTGGGGGGGCCTCTCGAGGGAGGGGGGGGGCGAAGGCTGAACGGATTCCCCTGCATTCGGCTCTCTTCTCTCTTGGGGCCCTCCTGGGGCTCTCTTGGGCCATTCTGGGAGGGGGGGGCATGGGGCCGCCTCGGGGCCCTCTTGAGCCGCCCTGGGGCCCTCGTGGCGGCCTCATCGGCAGTCGTGTGACCATCTTGGGTGTCCCCTGGGCAGCGGAAGACGCTGTCAAGACGACAATCCGTGCGTGCTGGGAACATGCCTGTCCGACGGGTCTGCGACGATGTTTGTCTCGGCGGTCCTCTGGGAACACTTTCGGGCCGTCTTGAGAGCCTTGTGGGCCGTGTTGAAGTCATCTGAGCGATCGTCGTGGGGCTACTCTGGGCCTTCTCGACGTTTTCTCTTCGACTGCCTTGGACTAGGTCCTCTTGGCGCCTTTTGGTTTCTTGGAGGCTCCAGAGACCCCTGGGGTGCGTTGGTGAGCTCGCCCCCACCCACCCCCCTCTGACCCCCCAACCCCCACCCGTCTCCCCCCCCCCTCCCCCCTCCTCATCCCCCCCGCCCCCTCTCAAACAGTGTTTCGGTCCCCAGGGGAGAGGAAAAGGGGGAGGGGGGCAGCCAAATGTCCTACACGCCTGTTCACCCCACGGCAAGCGGGGGTCAGCGGATTTTTTGTATGCATGCGTTCTTCGTTTGACGACATAGGTGCGATGTATTAGTATGGTGCCCATGATAGAGCCAGAGTTGTTTCAGAACATATTGCATATCTCAGCTTAGTCTTGAGGATTCATAACTTCGACAGGTTCGGCAAGCGGTCGTTGTAGTGAGACAGCTCGTTCGCTCGGCTCAGCGTTTTGCGAGGCCAGTGTCGCCGAGTCAGTTGCGTTGTATTTGCTGGATCGGCGCCCGGAAATCCGGTATTCGTTTTTGCATGCGTTCGATCTCCGCTCTGCCAATTTGTTCCCGTCAAGTTTGCGGCATTTCGAAATGCGAATGTTTGATATCGCGCCAATAAGTGTTTTGAACTGATGTCAGGTGAGCGCGAGTCTGATACACGCCGGGTCGATGGTTTCTTCAAGTGGTTTACGCCATTCCGCCTCTTGGAGGGCTCTTGGCTGCATCTGCGAAGTTTGTTGGGTCTCTTGGTGGCTTTTGGGGAGTTTCTTGGGGGCGTCTTAGAGTCCTCTGGGGGCCTCTTGGGGGTGCCTTGGGGGGCTCCTGGGACCGTCTCAGGGCCCTCTTGGGCCGTCTTGGGGCCCTCTGGGGGGTCTTATCGGCAGTCTTGTGACCATCTTGGGTGTCCCCGGCCCCTGGGAAGTCTCAGACGCTGTCCAGACGAAAAAAACGAGTGTACTAAACATATGTGACAGGTAAGGAACGATGTTTGCCTTTGGGGGCCTTCTCGGCGGTCCTCTGGGAACCCTTTTTGGGCCGTCTTGGGGGCCTCATGGGCCGTGTTGAAGTCATCTTGGGTGGTCGTGGGGCTACCATGGGCTGCTCGGCGCTCTCTTCTGCTGTCTTGGCGCTCAGTGGGCCCTTCTTGGGTTTTTGTGAAGGCTCTGGAGGCCCCACAGGTTCGTTGGCGAGCTCCCCCCCCCCCCCCTCGAATCGGGTTTCAGAACCCCGAGGAAGGGGAAGGGGGAGGGGAACAGCCAAATGTCCCAGACGCCTGCTCACTTCCCAACAAGCGGGGGTCGGCGGCTTTCATCGGAAGTGGCCCAAGACCTTTGGCATTCGATCGTGAAGATTGCTGGTCGAGGGGGCTGGAGGAGAACGACTGCCATCAGTGTATCGCTCAGATCGGGCGGCTCAGCGGTGGCCATACTGGTTTTGTTGAGCACCTTGACGGGTCGCTGCCTTCCAGGGCGAACCACGCCTAGGCGCGCAAGAAGAGCGGGCGCCCCGTTCGTCTTCGCGCCCAGCTCTGCCGTTCTGCGCAAGAGGCGATCGCCAGCATGCCAGATCTGGAAGTCATGCGTGGATGGTTTCAACGCATGGGCCTCGGCGAGCGTGCCCAGTCAGTTGAGTTGTGCCAGCCTCTTCTGCGTGCAGGGGCCTCGCTTGCAAAAAAGTCATTTTGGAAGTCGTCGGGCAGCAGATCAACGACATCATAAATCCGCGAGCTATTAAGCTCAGGACTCGAGCATGGCGCCCGCTTACCAAGTGGCGCGAAGGCTTGGAGCAGCACGTGCCGCACACGGGTCCGGCATTTCAGTTCTGTGCTGCCCTGGTGGGGTGATCGGAATCTCGCGCGGCGCGAGGCGTGTTTTTTTGTTGAGCCGATGGTGGGGGGTTTTGAGGCTACCGCGAGGTCACCTCGATGGCTTGAGATACCATTGGCTTGCAGACCGGGGACCTCGTAGGAGGCGCGTCTGATCATGAGGGCGCTATTCGTCGTGGTATTTTTCTTTTTGGCATGCCTGGCATCGGATGCGGCTGCCGCGCCGCGCGGTTCATTGCGCCTCACTTCCTTCCGCCCTTCAAGAGGAAGACGAAGAAGCAGGAGGGGCCGGCGCCGGTTTAGATACCGGGGTCTAGTCCGAGCGACACGGGCAACGCCGCCTCTTCGTGACAGGCATCGGAGCAATAGGATATGCCCGCTGCAGGTCCCCCCCCACACATGCACACGGCAGCTGCTACAGCCACTCCACAGGCCACAGAGGCCCAATGCGCAGGGAGATGCAACGCATGCTGGAAGCGACAGGACTCGGGGGACTGTCAAGTTCACCACCGAGACGGGCGCGAAGCGGTTAGAGACGGGCGCGAAGTGGTTCAGAGATGCGTCAGAGACGCTTGACGCGAAGCGAGTCAGCCGCAGACGCTTCAGAGACGGGCGCGAAGCGGTTAGGCAAGGAGTCGCACGCTTCTGCAATGGAGACGGAGCGCCGGCGGTGCTGCTGTCGTGGGTTACGGTTATGAAGGCTGCCGACGCAGTTAGCGCGAGCTGGCGCCGTCGCCGCGAGGGCGCCAGCTCGCGCTGTTGCCGCGAGGGCCTCGCGGCAAGGAGCGGCTATACCGATACCCGCGGGGCTTTGGCGAAGATTTGATCGAGAATGCGGCGCGCGTTCGCTGCGTAATGGAACCCGTTCGCCGTGCTTCATTCATTCACGAATCAAATTTTAAAACAGCGACAGCGCCAGCCCGCCTTCCCGTTTGGCATGAATTGCCAGGTTCTTTATCTGCGACGAGTCGCTCGTTGGCGATGCCCCCTGGCCTTGCGCAAGAAATGGGGGGGAGACCAACCAGCGTTGAGGGTCGCGTTATTCTGCGGGCGAGCAGCCATCACCCCTATCGTGCCGAGAGCGAACTTCCCTTGAAGAAACAAGCTTCGCCTGATACTCGCGAGATTCTTGAAATGGCTGCGCGCCACGGCCCGCGCGTCAAGCGTCGCGAATGCATCGCGCCCCATCCGGAGGCGACGCGGAACCTCGTCGCGGAGTGGGCCCGGGAGAGCGGTGAGAGTCGCCCAGGTTGGGCCGGGCCTTGCCAGGAACGTGTTTTTCGATCCGAAGCGCGCGACAGAAATTCTGCGTTTCTCAATCGGCGCCAGCGCCCGACCTCGCCCAGACTGCGCCCGCGGGCAGGGTGGGGCCGCGGCCCGCGGGCGCGGAGGCCGCAGAAAGATCGCCGGCGTTCCCCACCAGCGCTGGCGGGCCTGTCCCCCTCCAGGGGGAATTGCTCGACGAATAATAGAAAATACCCCAAAATAGTAAGAATATATTCCAAAAATGGTCAGGGGACTATTTTTTAAGTATTTGTTGGCCTTTTTTGGTGCATTTTTTTGGTATTTTTAAGTCTCTCGTCGAAAATTCCCCTGTAGGGGGACACGCCCGACATAACGCTGGCGCGGCATCCCCGACCGCCCCGAGGCCGCCACTCCGCGGCGGGAGGGGCTGGCCCCGGCCAGACAGCGCAGAGGAGATCGTCCTTGGTCGCGGTCGCGCAGGAGGCCCCGCGTGCCGCGGTGGGCGACGTGGATGGAGACATCGAGAAGCGCGTCGACCATCGTAGCTTCGGCATTGCGCCGCAGCCCCGCAGCACGACCGCCCTGACCCTTGCCGCCTAGCATTAAGTCGGGCCTGTCCCCCTACAGGGGGGTTTTCGACGAACAAAAAAAAATACCCCCAAAGTAGCCAAAACATATTCCAAAAATGGTCAGGGGATTCTTTTTTTAGTATTTTTAACCTTTTTTTGAGCATTTTTGGTGTATTTTTTTTCCGTCGAAAATCCCCCTGCAGGGGGACACGCCCGACATAAGCCTAGCATCTGCCCGAGGGCGCGCGCGCGCGCGAGCTGCCGCAGCTCTGGGCGCCAGCGCCTCCGACGCTGGCGCCTCCGGCGGCTGTCGCGCGAATTTCCTGTTCCGCGGCGCAGGTCTTTGCCCCCACGGGGCCGGGCCCGGCGGTCCGACCGGAGGGTGCGCTTCGAGGCCTTCTCTTGGGGCAGAGGCTTCTCCGCGGCGCCATCGTGGGAGGTTCCGCGAAGAGGCGCGACTTGCAACGGGGTCGTGCTTCAGGAGGGGGAAAAAACACGCAGACACAATTGATCGTCGAATCCCCAGAGCACATTGGAAATTGTAGGAAGTTGGGGGGGGGAAAGCAAGAAACCAGAAAACATGGGAAAACATTGGGGATCCTGTTGTTTGTGCGTATTCATTTGTGTGTCCCAGGGCCCCTTCATTGTTGGCCTGTGCAGATCCAAGTTCGCTCAGGGGCGCGGTGTCTGGATCACGCTTGCGCTGGGAGGTCTGACGGTGCTTGACTTGTTGTGGCGTTCTGGTCTTTCCGTTCGCCGTCGATATTCCGATTGGATGTCACATTGCTGTTCTGTTTTTACTTCGCACAGACTCAAGCAGTGGCGACGCGTCCTGGTGTGCCTATAGGCCTACCAAACAATGTTCTAATAACCTTTTGCGGATTCCACGAATGTTCTTAGAACAGTTCTGGTCGGGACCGTCGTGTTTTAACATATAGGGTTTGTGTTCTAAGAACATTGTCGTTGTTGTTGGGTTCTAAGAACATGTCGTGGTAGGCCTGTAGAAATGCCGGGAAGGCCGGTCCCTGTTCAAGAGACGCCTTCGTTTTTCTGGGTATGCCTTGCACGTGCAGTTCGTGTTTGAAGCTCGCAGAAGGGCCTTGGTATTGCTCGGCTTCTTGTTGAGTCGCGCTCGCGGGTTGTGTCAGTTGCGAGCCTGGCGCAATTGCGGGCACCACGACGTTTAATGGAAGCGCAAGCAAAGTTCAGCAACTTACAGCTTCAATCAGTACGAAACAAATGTGTGTGCAGACGCGAGCACGCCTTAAGTTTGACTCGGAACAGTGAGTAAGCGTAGAGCTCAATAAAATAATGGCGCGACAGCCAGAACTCGCGAGTAGAATCGTAGCATCCGGGTTCTATGACTAGCACTACCATACCACTACGGCTAATTCAGATGTCCTACATATTTTGCACGTTGATTGTACTCTTTTTGGACGCGCCTTTTGCTTGTTTTCAGCCCTGCATATTTCTGCGATTTGCCCTGTGCTGTCACTGCACAGTTATTGTACTGTTCTTGTATTTCTTCCAGCCCTGAATTTCTTGTATTGTTAAACTACTAGTATGTTTCTGTTTTGCCTCGTGCTATTTTTCCGTGTTTGCGTTTAATTATTGTTTTGCGCATTGAGATGCGCCTTGATATTCTCGCCCACACGCACTTGTACTGTGAGGTTCCTGCTGTTTCGAGTTCGTATAACCCCAACATTGGGTACATGGAATGTGTCAAAACAGTTGGATGGACTCACACTTCCCGAACCGCGTCTCCTCAAACTTGTTGCATGTTTATAGTTTGGTGTTGCATCGCAGTTTCCGAGGCACGTCGACTTACAATATTAGTTCGCTTCAGTTGGTGTTGGTTGATTGGTCTCACCAGCCAGTCTAGCTTTCATGTTTCTATGGACAGATTCGCTTGAACGTGCTACAGCACATTGGTCTTACCAGGCTATGTCTGAATATGTGCATGTGCTCGTTTGGCTTCGCGTTTTAGTGCCCTGGTCGGCAGGCATCGCCGCGTGTGTGTTGGCAGTGGCGCTGTCCATTTGACGTCGTAACACCAATGACTCCTGCCTATTGGCGTGACAGGAAACGTCTTCTCCTCTTCTTACTCCTGTTTAACATCACCCTTTTCCCCTCCTCTGTCCCACCCCCTGAGGGATGTTCCGTCGGACTGCGGCATGTGATCGGCTGACCACACTATGTATTGGTTGTTGTTTGTTGCTTGTGTCTGACAATTGCAAGCGTGCTCGCTCGAATGTAACCGCGGAGTGCAATGATCGATCCCCCACCGTTTATCCCCAGCCCCAAAGATGAAATAAAGAACCCCAGAGGGGGGCATCGCTCAAGGATGTCGTTGACGCCTCAATTAATCCATGGGTCGAGTAAATCATTCCTTGGGGTTGGAAGGGTTCAAGGACCCTCAAGAATCCTGCAGGCATCCTGCAGGAATCCTCGGCAATCCTTCAGGAACCGGCTGGGGTCCTCAGTAATCTTGAAGGGACCACATTGTGCTCTTCAAGCATCTTCAGGAGTCCGTAGCAAGAATCTTCACGAATCCTCCAAGACTGAACAGTTTAATACGTTCGCCGAAATGCGGGGGTGGATAATTGCATCACGCGTCTATTACTGTTCACGTGTTGTCCTTCTTGTTGGAAAAAGGATTGTTACATCTCTCTCCATATATGTATATATACACATATATACATGTATATGTGCATGTGTATATGTATAGGTGTAGTTTTATTGCCTGAGGTGTTTGTTCCCCGCCACGGGGGGTTCCAGCAGTGGAGCCTGCTCTCATCCTTCTCCTGTTGCTGCCGTTTCCCTCTCTGCTGCCCGTTTTCCCTCCTCCCCGTCCTTGTCGAGCCCTCGTCGGTCCCCTCCCCGACTCTTGTTCCTTTCTCTACGCCCCATCTCAAATCTCAACGTTCGCAGGGATCATGTTTGACAGCGCACAGGGTAACTTGGTTGCGGTTCGGGTCGGTTCGGTTCTGTCCGGCTTGGCTACGTTTCCCGATCTGCTTCGGTTCGCGACCAGTTCGGTTCGATGTGTCCAGTTGGCTTACAACAATCAAGAACATTCGGTTGCCCCAGCGAACCGTCCTGAGGCTCGCTGGGTCGCATCTTGGGCCTGCGCTGGAGAGGTGTTTTGCTCCCTGGGTGGGAGCCGCACGCGAGCGCGCGAAAACGATCGCGCTGCAGGTTTCGCGCGGCCCGGAGCGCGAGATCGGGCGACATCGACATCGATGCAGCCATTCCCGCAAGCGCGCACCGCGCAGAGCTGCGGCCCAGGCACGGCGCCCCAGGCCCACGGCTGCACGGTGCCGCAGCAGTGGCAGCGGCACGGGCGGCACCCGCTGGGCGGCCTCGCATCCGTCGTCGCGCTGCTGCCGTCGCCGGCCGTCGACGCCGCGGAGCTGGGGCACGGCCAGCCTCGAGCTCGCCCCCAGACACCCGACGAAGTAATTTGTTGCTAGCCTCGGCCCCAGAGCAGCCGACCCCTTGCCTCGGGGCCAGACTGGAATCCCCGGAGCCGCATTTGAGATGCTTCCGGGGCACCAGGATCGGAAGCTGGGCGAGGGCTGGCAAATCCGTGGCTGCTAAAACGGTCTTCCCGGAAGGGAAAAACACATTCCCGGAACAAAGCTCGGCGCACTGAGTAGTAATTGATGGGCCTGTTTCCCACCACCGCCACCATAAGTTGGAGGGGGAGGGGGGCCTCCTCCTCCTCCTCCTCCTCCTCCTCCTCCTCCTCCTCCTCCTCCTCCTCCTCCTCCTCCTCCTCCCCCCCCTCCAACTTATGGTGGTGGTGGTGGTTGAAAACGCGCCCATCAGCAACCAGGCTGCTGCCCGGAAGGAGACACACTTGCCCGGAGCTCCGTTTTCGCGGCCACGGGGGTTTGCCGGCCTATTCGCCCGGCTGCCGAGAAGGAGGCGGCCCCCGAGGGCCGAGGTCGCGTGGCAAGCGCCCGGTGGGAAGTCTCGGGTCCTTCAGGAGGGTCCAAACCACGCAGGCACAATTCGTCGTCGATTCCCCCGAAAAAATATGGGGCACTATGGGAAGTGGGGGGGAAGGCAAAAACCCAGCAAAGATGGGGAAACGTGGGGAATCCTGTGATTTGTGTGTCTATTTATTTGCGTGTCCCAGGGCCCCTTCGGGCCGTCCAGGCGCAGCGGCACCGGACACGCGCCCAGGCGGAGCCTCTCGAGGAGGAGCTGCAGCAGGACCTGGAGCCCTTCCGGGCCTTCCTGGGCGGGCGGGGCACCGACGAGGTCTGCGGCGACGAGGCCGAGAGAGAGAGAGAGGCAACTACAATTAAGGAGAGGGGGAGAGACGGAGGAAGATACAGGGCGGGGAGAGGGTCGAGGACGGGAGGGGGAGGGGGAACGGGGGAGAGGGAGAGGTGGAGGGGTCAAGACGAAAGGTTGGAAGATGGAGAGAGAAGTAAATCAGAGATGGAGTTCTGAAGAGTAAGAGAGAGAGAGAGAGAGAGAGAGCGAGAGAGCGAGAGAGAGAGAGAGAGAAAGATAGAAATAAACATATACACAGGGAGGGGAGAGAGAGAGAGAGAGATGAACGGGGACCCTCAATCGCCCACTCATCAACGATAGGGGCCCGATAGCCCACCCTGCTCCAGAACTCGCGGATCCGCCATCGGTTGCCTGTCGCCAGCCTATCAGCGATGTATCGCCAGTTCAAGCTCGATATCTCCCACCCTGAACCAGTTCCTCTCGCCCCAGACCTCCGACATCATCATTGGTCTCCAACGTGGCTAGCTGGAGGTCTGAACCCCTTCCTTGGGACCGGCTTTTCTTTCTGAGGTGGCCGAAGCTAATCAAAAATTGTCCGTAGTGTTGTTCCGTTTCGACGCCATGATGTCAGGGTATCGCTCCCCATCGTCGCATTGTTCTTTCCCCTTGGTTGGTCCACCTCAAACGCTCCTCCTCATCCGACCCGCGCCATCGCGTGAGACCCCTCCAATAAGGGTCCGCCGTGAAGATGAAGTTCTTAGCCGTAGTTCTTAGCCGTTGAAGCGCAGGGCGGGACGCCAAGCATCAAAACGAAAGGCTGAAGCTTGAGCTTAAGCTTCAACTTTGGATTTCGCATGCGAGGTGAGGCGAGACGCGTGCGAGGCGAAAGCGGTTTGGGGAGGTCCAGGGAGGGGAGGGTCTGAAGCCCACGGCGCCAACGACCATGATCAACGTTTCAGGTGCTTTTGCATTGCAGTGTTTGTTTGCATTGCAGTTTTTTTGCATTGCAGCTTTGCCGTTCTAGCTTCAGATTTGGATTCCGCGTGCGAGGTGAGAGCGGTTTGAGGTCCAGCAAGGGTCTGAAGCCCACGGCGCCAACCACCATGATCAGAATTACAACTGTTTTTGCCTTGCAGTTTTTGTTTGCATTGCAGCTTTGCCGTTCTAGTTTCAGCTTTGGATTCCGCGTGCGAGGCGAGAGCGGTTCTGGGAGGTCCAGGGAGGGTCTGAAGCCTACGGCGCCAACGACGATGATACAACTTACAGTTGTGTTTGCATTGCAATTTTGGGCGCATCGCAGTTTTTTTTTGCATTGCAGCTTTGCCGTTCTAGCTCCAGCTTTGGAATCCGCGTGCGAGGCGCGAGCGGTTTGAGGAGGTCCAGCGAGGGTCTGAAGCCCACGGCGCCAACGACCATGATCAGAATTACAGTTTTGTTGCATTGCAGTTTTTACTGCATTCCAGTTTTTTTTCATGGCAGCTTGTGCGTTCTAGCTTCAGCTTTGGATTCCGCGTGCGAGGCCAGAGCGGTTTGGGGAGTTCCAGGAAGGGTCTGAAGCCCATGGCGCCAACGACAATACCCAGAATTACAGTTTTTTTTGCATTGCAGTTTGTTTCTGCATTGCATTCGTTTTTAGTTTTTTGCATTGTTTTGTTGCATTGCTGCTTTGCCGTTCTAGCTTCAGCTTTCGATTCCGCGTGCGAGGTGAGAGCGGTTTGGGGAGGTCCAGGGAGGGTCTGAAGCCCATGGCGCCAACCACCATGATCAGAATTATTATTGTGTTTGCATTGCACTTTGTTTTTGGCATTGCAGCTTTGCCGTTCTAGCTCCAGCTTCATATTCCGCGTGCGAGGCGAGAGTGGTCTTGGGAGGTCCAGGGAGGGTCTGAAGCCCACGGCGCTATAACCTCAATGATCAGACTCACACGTTTTTTGTAGCATTGCAGTTTTTGTTGCACTACATGTTGTTCTGCACTGCAGTTTTTTCCTGCATGGCAATGTTTTGCACGGCAGCTTTGCCGTGCTGGCTTCAGCCTTGGATCCCGCGTGCCAGACGAGAGCGGCCCGGGGAGGTCCAGGCACAACTGCGCGAGGTTTTTTTTCTCGGCCGCCGAGGGCGCAGCCTACGGCGCCACCGATAGGAGACGGCTGCATTCTCGGCCGCCGAGGGCGCAACCTATGGCGCACCCGATACGAGACGTTCTTATTCTCGGCCGCCGAGGGCACAACCTATGGCGCAACCGATCGGAGATTCTTGGACCGCTCGGTTGGCGACTCGGAGCCCTCTTGGACCATCTTAGGGGCCTCTTGAGGCCGTCATGGAGCGCTCTGGGGGTCCCGAAAACCGCCCCGGGAAGTTCTGGCATCCTGTGGCGGATCTTGCCGGGACATTGCTGAAGTACTTCTTGTCCGGGGACTTCCAGGGGCCGGCCCGCGCACGCGAACTAGAAATATCGTTTACCAGTTACCAGAGATTTTAGCACGCCTCTGGCCCGTTGGGCCGGCGAATGCAAATTTCAAAAGGGTTTCCGCCTTTTGGAGGCCTCTCGGGGCACTCTTGAAGCCATCTTGGAGCCATCGGCGGCCCCTCTTGGGCCTCTCTTGGGCCATCTTGGAGGCCATCGACCAACAAAGAAGGCGGCGTCAATTTGGATCCCCCGTCGGAACCCTCAAAATTGCCTCTTGGAGCTCTCTTGGGACGCTCTTGGGGCGGTCTTGGGCGCTCTTGGGGCCGCTTGGGCCTCTCTTGGGCCCCTCTTGGGGATCTCTAGATCCATCCCAGAGCCATCTCGAGACTTCGGAAGCCCATCGGAAGCGAAAAGGCGAGAAGAAACAAGCACATTGATTTCTATTGGGTTTTGGACGATCGTTGGCCTCTCCAGGGCGTCTTTGGGCGGCCCTTTGGTCACTTAGAGCGTCTTGGAGGGATCTTGAAGCCTCTTGGAGGTCTGTTGCAAGCTATATTTGGCAATGTTGGGCTATCTTCAGCGATTTGGGAGGCCATATTTAGGTCGTTGGGGTCTTCTTGGAGCCATGTTGGACTTTCTGGCCGCTCGCGAAAGGCCCCGTCCAGGTCCAGGGGGAGGGGGTACCGAAGAAGCAGAAGGGGGTCGGAAGAGTGGGGCATCAAAACCACTCACGCCCTAAAGGGCTGGTGGGTTTTTAGCCCCCTCCACTGGGACCGTCAAAATCACCTCTTAGAGCCCTCTTGGGCCCCTGTTGGTCGCTTCTTGGAGGCCCCTTGGGGCGTTCTGAGCGTCTCTTGGCAGTCCTGGGAGCCTCTTGAAGCGTCTTGGTTGCCTCTGGGGGGGAGAGGTTCCTAAGGCCTCTTGAGGGCCTCTTTGAAACCGCTTGGGAGTGTTTGGAAGCTCCTTGGGGGTTTTCTTGGAGCCCCTTGGGCGCCTCGTGGGGCCTTCTTGGAAACCTAAGGGGCCCTCTTGGGACCATGAAAGAAAGGAGGAGAAACAAGTAGAAAGCCCAGAGAAGGAGGCAAAAGTAGGGAGCCGCGTTAGCTACCATATCAGTTCTTCTGTAAGGCGCTGGGGCATCAGAACTTTTCGCTTCAAGCGGCTTAGAATAAAGCTTGATATTCGAGCTTCGGACCATTCCCTGGAGGGAGGAGGAGGAGGAAGAGGAGGAGGAGGAGGAGGAGGTAGGAATCAGCCACGCGCAGATGTGGATATGGGGACGGGGAACGGTTACTCAGAAGGCGCAGGCATTGTCTACAGACGTAGGGCCGGCGCCTTCTAAGAAGCAGCCTCTTTCTAAGAAGCCTTCCCCCCTCCCCCTACCCTCGTGTGCGCGCCGCCAACGAAAAGCGGGAGGACGAGGAAGACACAGTGTGGTGGAGGAGCGCCTTGCGTACACTTTACACTCAGTGAGGGCCTGTGCCTCTTGCCCACCTCTACGCCCGAGACGGCTTTTCTAGGTCTCATCACCTCTTCCCCTATCTTCTCCCTTGTAGGGCACGCACTTTGCCAACACCCGGAGCGTCGGTACATAGGCCCCAGGTCGATCCCGTGTTGCCGTGTTGCCTTCCGATCGTTATTATTTCTTGTTTGATCGCGAGCGCCTCCATCGAAGCAGTGGCCATCCTACTGATGTCTGTGCATCAGAGCTGGAGGAGCTGGCCCACATGAGCGTGATGCACCAAGCTATCATGCTGATCAACCCTCTGTCCTTGAAGTGCCAGGACTCGGTTGTGGGAACATCCCTCGTGGTGGAGGATGCGAAGATTAGCATCAAGAGTGCTAGGACTGTGAAGATTGCGTTTCTGGGTGATCCTTTTCGGTGTAAGAATGTGGGGCTGGTTGCAAGCTCGCGGTGTTGATGAGAATTGCTATATGGTTTGTTCTCATAACACATCATCGAAGCTGGCAGTATCGTATGTCAGGTCGCTCTCCCGCCGCGCTTGGAACAATCTGCAGCGTGCTCTTCACGGCAATGGGCCAAACCAACAGAAGACTACTTTTGCAAAGGCCTTGGTTCGTTTGACTCCAGCCAAGTCCCAGGCAAGAAAATGTGCAGCGCTCGAAATGCATGGGTATCGCAATGGCCAGAAGATCTACGGTCACTTCAAGATGCACTCGACGGACAGGCTGAAGGCCATCGCCTCAAGGCCGACCGCCGAGATCAAGAAACTCATCGACGAATGGTTACGTAAGATGCCCATGGGAACCCTTCCAGTAGCGTCGAAGCCATCGCCGGACACCGACAAAAAGCGGAAGGAGAAACAGAAGACGCAGAAGAAAGTGGAGCCACCGGGAATTGGATGACAGTATATTTCAGTCTCGGATTCGAATGATTTGGATATCCCAGTTACGCGTAGGTTGCCAAAAGACTACAGCATAATGAGTGTGGTTCATTTGGTTGCGGTTTTTGAGTTGCTGGGGATTGTCAAGTTCGGTGGCTTCTGGCAGCGGCCTGTCCCACCCGAGCCCTTCGGTTTCGTAGTTGCGCAGTCCCCAGCACGGGTGCCGAAGGAGGTGTGTATCATGTGTGGGCAGCGTGAACTTGCGCCCACTGTCTCTTTTTATGAATGCCCATGGGTTGTTAATGGCCACTGGGTGATCAAGCAATTGTACGTATGACAGTACGGAGGCGCAGTCAGTGCCTCAGCGATGCCAAGAAGAAAGCGAAGAAAGATACAGTGCTCGCAGGACGAGCTCAGTCACGTTGCTACTCTTGAGGTGTATACTGGTGAGAGGCTGTTCAAGGACCTACTGAAGCTACACAAGCAGGCCACATCGGTGCGAGGCAAACGTACCGAAGCTCCTGCTGGTCAAAACAAGTACGCGTTTCCCCACGGAGAGTCTGGGATTGGGGCTTTGCTCGCATTGTCAATGCTAAAATACCCTTGAATGCTCAGGGTGCAGATCTGGATTTCCGAGTGTGGGGCGGGAGGGCGTTTAACGACGACCTCCCAAAGCAGCGCGTGATCGCGGGGCTCTTCAAGGTGTCTGCGGAGAGAGCCTAGTTACTGCGAGCGGAGTCTGGACCAGATGGTAGCATTTGTCAGCGCTCACCTGCAGGAGGTACTACTAATGTGATGTTGGTCAAAGCAAGGGGGAGGAAGACTCCAGGCCATTCGTCACGGGCTGCTCCTTGGAGGGGGCACTTGCGCATATCAAGACGCTTGAGGGTGGAAATGGCCTCGGCTGTCGTGTTTCACGTTCCTTTAGAGCTGACAAGGGTTAGGGGACTGCGGTGTGGCGAGTATTGCAGCCTTGTGCACCACCTGCGCCGACGCTGCGCAAGATTGCGACACTTGCTAGACTTGTCGAGGGCAAACGGTTGGCATCGGAGCTTTCAACGCAGCTGGGATGACAAACGGAGTTGTCCATTATACGCGCACGTGGCAAGGGCGCGCGAGCCGCTCCTGCGGTTCGAGCGCGCGCAGATGTCCCTCCCCAGGTCTCCGACACTATGCTGGATAGTGCGCAGACCCCGATCAATGTTGTGAAGCCAAATGAGGTATGATAGTACGCCAGAGTCTTGGTCGCGGGCAGACACGGTGACCAAGTGCAATGGCTGGGCGCCGAACAGCAAGCCCGCGCCACCAACGGCAGTGGCGGCGGCGACAGCAGGCGACTACTGACAAACAAGCAGGCATGCGGATGCCACCGCCATGGGGGGCTTCGCCGGCACCGACCTGGACACCGCCGAAGTTGGGGGCGAACATCAATGTCGACGTCAAGCCTGCGGGCTCGGTCGCTTGCGCTGCAATTGCTTCTCGCGAGGCTGGTGCCACAAATAGAGCGCAACATTCCATATCAATGAAGGTTGCGCGTGAGATTGTGCAGTGGACTGATCGAGAGGCACATGATCTTCGAGGGCCCAAGGACAGATCGTTGCTGCTGGGACAGAAACGTATGCTGCACAATCGTGAAGCTCGACAGCAGGGATACCACATACAGGCGCCGCTGAAAGGCCCAAACAAGGATCTATCACCGTCCATGCGTTGCGAGACCCGTGGCTGACGGCCTGGTCGAGGAGGTTACGCATCCACCTCGAGATCAAGGACTTCGCTCGACTGGACCACGCCGTACGGTGGATGATTGGAAGGATATCGTGGGCGATCACAACATACGTACCGATATTCCAAGAAAAGCTGTCATGTCTTATCTCCCTATCGTGATGCACAACGTGATCCGGAGCTCGGTTGTAAGCTATGCAAGAAGGTCGCGCCCAAGATCAGACTGGAGCCGCTCACTGCAGCCATTTGCGGTAGACGATGATGTGACCAAAGGTGGAGGCGATACGAAGTTGGACATACTCTTTTATTGAGGTACGCTGGCTGGCATGGATGTATTCAGCACTGGCGCGTTCCAAAGTGAACTACATCAAAGCCGAGAGCGAGAGCGAGCGGGGGAGAGAGAGAGAGAGAGAGTTGGAGGAGTTGGATGAGGGGAAGAAGGATGGGGAGGAGGATCAGGAGGAGGAGGAGGAGGAGGAGGAGGAAGAGGAGGAGGCGGGGGAAAAGAGGGAATGAAAGAGGGAGGGAGGGAGGGAGCGAGTCAGGGAGGGAGGGAGGGAAGTAGGGAGGGAGGCAGTGAGGAGGGCGGGAGGGACGCAAGGAGAAGGAGGAGGGAGGGACGCAGGGAGGGATGGAGAGAGGAGGGCGGGAGGGACGGAGGAAGAGGAGGGAGGGCGGAGGGACGGGATGAGGAGGAAAGGAGAGGGGGGGAGGGAGGGACGGAGGGAGGTGGAGGAGGGCGGGAGGACGGAAGGACAAGGAAAGGGAGGAGAGGGAGGAGGAGGGAAAAGGGAAAAAGGAGGAGGAGAGAGGGAGGAGGGAGGAGGCGGGGACAGGAAAAGGAGGCGGGAGGGCCAGCGGCGGCCTCGCGCGCCACCGCGCGAGACCTCCCCCTCCCCGGGCGCCGCGCAGGCGCTGATGCCCCTGATGGCGCTGCCGTTCGTGCGCCGCCCGCACGCGCAGGCCGACCTCCGGGAGGCGGCGCGGGGGCCGCCGCGCCCACGCGGCGCGCCTCGTTCGGGGCCCTTCACCCGCGGAGTTCCTTGTCGGCACTCCTCCTCCTCCTCCTCCTCCTCCTC